TCGTTAGCTGGCTGGTTTTATTTAATCGTTGCCCTTCACTTTCACAAAGAAGTATGCTTTTAAGCTAAAAACTCTTTTTTTTTTCTTTCTTTTTCTTCTGATTTAGAGCGAAAGAGTAAGAAAGCTGTAACTGATTGGAATATGAATGAAGTTTTAATTAGGGCTCTAGTGTATAAAAATGTGCCCTTTGATTTGGCGCCAAATGCCGACGCTAGTACCGTTTTCTAGTAACCAAGAATTGACTCTTATTTCCCCAATGTTATGGCAGCCATCTCATTTTGTAACTTATTTTCGCTTAATGTAAAAGAATGCAAAATATCCTCTTGTGGTGTTGCGTGTAAATCACTATCTAACTAGATACTTACAAGTATCAAATCAAAGTTACATGTGCCCAATATTTACTGGCCTGAAAAAATGTATGCGTACATTGCGTTCTAACCCTAAAATAGAGAATAATAAAATTACTTCACTTACCCACAAACACATATACATGAATTGATGTTGCTTTATATACGCTTAGATTATTCTTTTTTTACACACAATCTTCTGGTCAGCACAAGGTAAAGACCACAAGGAGACGAGCCGATGACAATAGCAGCAATTTCTTGATGCGAAACACACATTAACAAGTTATTTCAAGACGGATTAAATTTTACCATAATTATTTCATAGCTGGATTAATTTTCAATATAATCTTTCAGGATAATTTGTGCAATTCTCATGCTGCTTCGCTTCTTCTTCTCCATCAAAAAGACATCATTCCATGAGTGTGAGATATGCAAGGGCCGCAGCCCCGCATAGTTGTTCGAGACATAGTCAGCAAAAAGAGGGAAACCTGTTTGGCGGGTATTTATATGCACGTGTAGTTCTGCGATTGCGATTGCGATTGCGTAGTATCTGCCTAGATTAGTATCTTCTGCACCTTGTATCATATATCTTGTAACATCCTGCAATACGTAACCTATGTTGTAAAACGTAACCCTGTATGTTTAACAAATATCTCGTATCATACTGTAATATGTTTCATATATCTCGTATCATCCTTTAATGTGTATTATGTTTCATGCATCTTGGTATCTGCTTATATTAGTATCTTCTGCACCTTGTATCATATATCTTGCAACATCCTGCAATACGTAACCTATGTTGTAAAATGCAACCCTCTATGTTTTAACAAATATCTTGTATCATTGTGTAATATATATCATATTTCTCGTATTTCCTGTAATATGTACCATATATCTCGTTATCATCTTTTAATATATAACCTATTTTGAACCTTCTTTTCTTAAGTATGTGTATGTCACCTTATGCATGTCCTTATATTTGTCACCTTATGTATCTACCGCACCTTATGTTCTACGTATCATGCATCCTGGCATCTGCCAATATTTGTATCTTCTGCATATTGTAACATATATCTCGCATAACCCTGTATCATGCAACTTATTTCGCACCTTCTACAATGTATCTACCACTTATATCACTCTGCACCTCGTATTATGTATCTTGGCATCTGCAATATATCCACAGCATCTTGCATCATATATCTCGCAACATCCTGTAACATGTAACTGATTCTGCTCCTATATATCTTATATTCATAAGTATGTGTATGTCACCCAAAGTGTGTCACCTTAGATATGTTCTTATGAATGTTCCCTTATACATATCATGCACCCCTTGTTCCTACGTAAGATGTATCTAGGCATCTGAAATATATATGTATCTTCTGCACAGTCTATCTGTAGCCACCGTATGTTCTTATGTATCATGTATCTAGGCAATAGATAAAGGTGGACGTGGCGCTATACCGATTAACCATATTGGTAGAGGGATGGTGTCCACGTCCTCCGTCGCATGTCGCATGCGATTGCGATTAATGTTACAATAGTGTCCATGATGATGAACTGCGTGGTGTGAGAAATTTCTATTCTCACACCTCTCTGCGCTGCTTCACAATGTATCTGAAGTTCTATTTCGTCATAATTTCGTAAAGAATTTCAAATTGTAATCATGTGAATCCGTTACGAAATCTGCTGTTGCAAACATTTTTTATGGTGCTCGGTTAATTGCATGGTACTTATAACTAAAAATTAATGAACCTGTTCTAAAGTTGAAAATGAGATACATAATAAAGAGGTGGAAACCTTTTATAAGAATCTAACGAGTTATTTAATGTTTGGATGCATTATTAAAATGTCACAGTTTTGATTCAAATTTGACTAAAAACATATAAGATAATAGTATTAGTCATAGCACATTGCTTTTATAAAAGGTAATATTATTCATAATATGATTAATTATTGTGACAAAAAAAGCTGAAATTGAGAAGTAGTTTTCTTTTTTTCTCCGACGTCAAATGAGCAATGCCATTTTAATACGTTGATAAGTTCCCAAATAAAGTATTAGAAAACTGACTGCCAGCTGTACGGAATGTCTCATTGGAATTCAATCAGCTAACTATGCCCAGCAATTAAGTTAATCATTGCATGAATTTATAAGAAAAGCTATAAAACAGTTCTGTTTTGTTGAATCATAGTAAAACCCAACATTAAATTTTCTGATATAACATGAACTTCACTTTCTTTGCACAAACCATCAAGCATTTAAATTTGGGAACTGAACTAGTAAGAAACACGAACAATCGTTTATTATGAATTTATTACAGTACAATATCTGTATGTATCATGGGAACAAACAATTCCTGAAAGTAGAGGTTTTCTTCCTGCAGACATTTGGCAATCAGACCTACCATTACAAACGTATAAATAAGCTACTTTGGCTAATGCCATCAAAAACAAAAATTATTCTAACATTTTCGAAGGATTTTAATTCATCACGTAACTGAAATCCGCAAAACAGGGAAGCTTTTAACCGAGACATGAATTATCGTCTACTTCAATCAAAATTTTTATCAATTAAAATTGTATTAATTAAGTGCTAAACCTCTCATGTAAATCAATTTTGGACCGAAAGCTATGTTGTTTTCACGTTTCAAATAAAACTGTTCGCATTTTCCAATGTGAAAATCATATAGGAATCTTGGACTTTTGAAATCTAAGATCTCAAAAAAATATTATAAAACAACAAAGAAAACTATTGACAATGACTGCTTTCTGTCAGAAATAGAATGCCAAATGTTTATTCAGAAAACATATGTACTTCGAAGGCCATTTCAAAAAGTATATACATGTATATGGCTATAAAAGAGAATTCACACACCTGCTGCCTAATACTTTTTCAGTAGTTGGACTATAGATGAATTTTTTTTGGGGGGGCAGGGGGTGTACTGACCTTTCTTATTGCTTCGAAGAAGCTTTTTATGGACAGGTCTATCAAATTTTAGGGGTTTTAAGCCAGGCGTTGGCAACCTCTTTTCGGTTGCCGGTCAAAATCACCCAAAATGTGTTTATTAAGAAGATGTAACGTATTAGCGGTATTTTCATTTTAGAACAGCCTTTCTTTGTGAATAATGAGATAATTTTTTTTTCCTAAATACAAAGATAAAGATACGCTTTAAACATAAAAATTGAAATTCTAATTATTATTATAATAACAAACGTAACAAATAAATTGATTTTTCTCTTCGATATCAGTGACTCCTCTGATGCTGAATTTGCGAAGTCAATTTAGTCAAGTGTGACTTATAGTAAATCGTCTGAAGACGAATACAAGCTTGTGAATTTTCAATAGTTTAAGCTTCTCTTGTTCTTAAAATAAATTTTGTGAGTAAAAATGTTTTCTCGCACTTATAAGTTTAACCGAGTGCGGACAAAATGGCAGAGCCGAATTTTTTAAATTATGGATAATGTATTAGCGTTACCAAACTTATGGATTTCTTTTTTAAATTATGTTATAAATTTTAGTTTTTAAAAGTAAACATGCATATTCGTTACTGCAACTTTGTAATCAAACAAAAATAGTATTGTTATTATTTATTTTCAGTTTATTTCTAATGTAATCTTCAAGTGTTTGTTTCATATTTAGGTTTTATAATTTATTTTTATGTATTATACTTTATTTTCGGTGCTCAAGTGGATCTCTTAAAATTATAAAATGGGTCACGCTGTGACCCGCGGACCATAGGTTATCGAGGGCTGCTCTAAACACTTAAAAAGATTTTGGTTCTCAGTATATATTTACACCTGTTTTTCCCTTTTAATCTCTCTCGGTTTTGATTTTCGATTCAGATGCACCGTATATTCCGAAGTGAAACCGGCAGTGGAAACTTTTTTGGGATCCCCTTTCCTTTTAAGGACCTAAGCACTTTTTTTTTATTCTCCCTGGCCTTTCTGCCCTAAGCACATGCTTATTTTGCTTCATGGTTAACTAACCAAACTCTGAACCCAGATTTTTATAGAACTGAAGATAATTTTTTTTAATGGTGGACACTTGCCTATTCGACAATGGCCACGCCTAAGGCCAGACGTGGTGGCCATTTTATTGTAGAGGTGACCGCTGCTGCCTCCTATGTGAAGGAGCGGATAGTTACAACCATGCCTTCTGCGGGATTCGAACCCGAGCGCTTTGGATCGCAGTCGGCTCTCATAACCATTATACCATCTGGGCATTACTGCTGAATATATAGTACATCTATAAATCTTCCCGTAAAATAAAAATCTAGCTACTTCAAAAGAACATCACCATCACAATTAATGGCACCACTTTAGACATTCACAGAAACCCTGAACCTCTGATTGTTAGGCTTATTCAGGAAAGAACTGGCCTCATCCAACAAATTTACCGTAAAATAAAACCTTAACTATTTTTTTTTCCAAATATATATATATATATATATTGCAACAGTCACCTCTTTTGTATAACTGCAATGAATACCTCTGGATCTCTACAAGTAAAACATCCTGTATTGTGACTAATGTTCATTACAATGTCCAACGTTTTTCAAAAAATGGTCCTTGAATTAAAATCTTGTTGTAAAGATTATAACATTGAAACTGCTTTTCTAAATAGTAATGCAATCTCGTATTCTCTTTCAGCGCAAAAGACCCTGACTGGAGATGTCTCTTGCCAAAAAAGCATCATCAAATTTGGAGAAGTATTGCAAACATTTTTAGGACTTGGTGGTCAAGAGCATTGAATATCCCCGTGCCTGGATAAATTTCGTGTGTGATTTTTGATTTTTGAATCTCTTGACTGTAATTAAAAAATCATATGCTGGTGAATGGAACCATGTATTAGCGGTTCTTTCAGCGACTAGATTCCAGAAGTTTTATCTGGCATAATTATCATTGTGGTGCTCTGGTCTACTCAAAGTGTGTACCTTGTAAACGTTTAGTTTCTGAACGCAAACGTTGGCTTCAGTATACCGCAATGTAAATTTACTTAAAGTAGGTTGTTGATTAATTTATATGCCTTATTTCTATAGCAAATGGAATTGAAAGTAGTTGCAACATTCAACTTTATTTTCGAGCATTTCTATAAATTTTGGAACATTTAGGCTGTTAGATTCTTCTAAGATAATTTTATTGACACTCGCAAAAAAAGGCATGATTTTTTCAAAATTCAAAAATGCAAAATTGTTGATTGTAAATATTTCATTTTGTTCACTAGAGTTATAACTATTTAGTTTAACGGAATATTTCTTTGATATCCGTGAAGACGCTTCCAAATGTGCCATATAAATAAATTAGCAAATCATCAGTAACAAAACTGATCGCAAAAATAATTTTCACTGTCGTTCCCAAATGCATAAGCTTTTTCTAATAGAAAAAATGTTTTCATTAGGAAAAGAATTTTAACAGTTCTGAAATCAGAATTTGTGATTGTTATAAGTTGACCTGAAAAAGTACTCATTAATTACAATTAAAAATTTCAGAATTACTAACTTCTTGATTGCTAATAAAAGTATTAATGAAAAATCAATGTAGATTCATAACGATTAGTTCTTATAAATGCAGATGATATATGTTACACCTTCTGTTGCACTTATTAAGTATAATTGTCACAAAATTCAAAACATTAACGTATAAGTACACTTGATGCATTTGTATAGTAAACATAATTATTTGCCCTAACAGTTTATTACGGGTTTTAAAATCTAGTTTGCACTGAATTAAAACCACATAGTTGCTTTATTGCGTCAAATATGTTAAGAATTAAAATTCTTAATCTTACCTTATATACTGTTAAATTTAAGTGATGTTACAAGTTAAGCTAACAGCAGTTTTATATTTGTACATACATTGTCAGATATTAACATTTGCTTGACTATTTTCCAGAAAGCAAGCTAGTATGTTTTGAGGTTTCTTTGACTTTGTGAGGTATGTATTAAATGTTATGCCAAAGACGCTGGTCGCAAGCATAAATGACATTAATTTTATGCGTCATTTTTTGTATTTTTCTTTGATGTATGTGACAGTCGGCTGAATCTGGGACCATAACCTCTACCTGACTGTTTGAAGCGTGTTTGTTTTAATATCTGAGCAATTTTGTTGTATAACGTTTGTCGATTTCAACGTGTATAAATGTAAATCATACAAAAAGTAATCTGTGAAGAGTAAATTAACAGCAATGTGAACCAAAACAGAGAATAGTCATTTTTCAGTCTATTTCTAGTTCTTCCAGAAATATAAAACGTAATCTGCAATAATGTAGCGTCATTAAAAAACAAAATTTAATTAATTTCAAATCAGGAAATAATTTCAAAAATCAAAACTTCAGAATTAAAGGTTTCAATGTGACTTAAAAATTCACTTTCATTTCCCTTAAATAGAAATTAGTAGACTTTAAAGTAATATACAGCGAAAAAATAATGCGTTATTCTCAGAGCTCATTCAAAATTTCTGTAAAAATTAATGTAAAATATTTATCTCGATGATAACTCCATACATATAACCAACAGTAAATTAAAAATTCCTTTGTTTTATAGATTGTAAAAAATAAATAAATAAATAAAGAGAGAGAAAAGAGAAAGAAAGGAGGAGCTGAAATTTTCTAAATTTTACGTCTTTAATTAGGAAATAACTCATGACAAAAAAAATGGAAGAAGGAAAAAACTCCGAAAACAAATGATGAAGTAAAAAATTATACAAATCAATAGCTGCTCCTGATTTCTTTTTAATTATACAACGTGCATTATTTATTACATTATTATGGTATGCAAGTTTCCAGTAATAAAATATAACATTTTGTATAGTATTTTTAGAGGCATACGCAAAAATATAGAATTGTGTAATGGCAATTGGTATCTTAAATTTTGTTTGAGAAACTGAACTCAAAATGCATAAATGTTTTATACATTGATTACATCAGATCTAATTTAATAAAAAAGTAAAATTTTTATTTTGTAGTAGAATAATTTTATTTATAGTTTGTTGAGCATTCAGAAGCATAAAATCGGCTGCAAACTTTATTACAGAGTTGATCCCCGTTATAACGAACTAGAACCGAAAATTCGGTTACCTATATTCGATCTAATAAGAAAATTGATCATCTCACAAAATAATGTATAAAAGTATTGATATATCATACAGAAAGAGTCATTAGCATTGTCACATATCCCAAAGTTGTTAATAGTAACTTTAGTGTAGAAAAAGAATATATAAATTCAATTGCAATTATTATTACGTACAGTTACAAATTTTATTTTTTATTTTTCAGTTTCACCATACGTCCTTATTTAATACAAAATATTACTTAGCATAAAAGTCATGATTTAGAACCATTCCTCCAGTTAGACATTTCCTTCTAAAATACAAATTTACAATATGAATAAGCATCAGCCTTGAGCAAAGTGCTATCTGACTGCTCAATCAAAGAACTGCAATGGCATCAAAGAACGATTTAAGCCCTTTGTCTTAATGAATCAATGGTTCTTTGGCTCAGTACGGGGCACTGTAGGATCCCCTAAGGTATACTTTTTGTGTGCCCTGGTTTTCCAAAGGTTGAGAGCTACACCTGATTTGCATAGCATTTTGCTTAGAACACAGAGAAAGATGGGAATGAAGATAAAATAACAGCAACCTGAAGGAGTTTTTCGTTTTTCCAGTACTTTAAACAGGACGAATTTAAAGGCTAGTAATTTTTCAGCTAAAAACTGCAGAAATTCTGGGAAAAATTTTAAAACATACAGATTATTTTCAGCCCAAGATATTCATGAAGTTCGTTTTACCAGATTTTCATGCAGCTGGAAGTTCGTTATAGCCGTATAAAATAACATTAAGTTATAAGAAATTGGTTTGTTGTTCGTTTCAAAAAGTTATAAAAAGTTCGTTTATTATATTTATTCTCTATAGCGGAATTTGACTGTATTTTCATATGAAGCTGTGTATTAAGTTTGAAAAATACAATTAATACATCAGTGCATTATTGAATAATTTTAATAACCAGGGGTTAATTTAATAACCATCGCTGATGTTGTTCATTAAACATAATTAAAAGTAATATTAAGAAAAAAATAAATAAGACATGAATATTAAGGTATTACTTTTTGTAACATTCCTTCATTGCTCAAATCGTACAACATAGAGTAATTAAGTATGGTTTATTGTTGAACTGATTAAATGTAACATAATGTATGAGATTATAAGGTGTTTTAAGTAATGCTATTACTGAATATAACTGCTAAAATATATTTTGCAAAAATTTAAATTTATAAACACTATTATTAATATATTTTATTTTTATTACTACTATATAAAGCAGAGTTAAAATTGTACTCATGACGATCTTATGATAATTATTCTAAATTTTTAAATTGTAATGATGATCAAATGCTCATTTCTCGGAGGGCTAAAATTGATTGAATGATACAAAATATTAGTTTTTGGCGTGCAATATAAATAAATACCGAAGTTCGGGTGTAATAAAAATGAAAATTCTACAGAGTTTTAAGATCTTGCGAAAGAATTCTAATTTACAGCAAAAAATGAAGCAGAGCTGTTAAGAATGAAAATCATAAATATATTACTTAGGTTATGAGTGCATTGTTTAGTCTGGACATTGCTTAGATCCTTGGTGTCAATCTAAATAAGTAGAAATTGATGTATCATGATGTTACGTGTTTAGAAAATATTTCAAATCTATATAAACAGAAAATATTAACATTAATAGATGCTTAAAAGCGAGTTAAGTTTGGAATATGCTTAGAAACCATGTGTCTAGTCAACATAACGTCAAAACATAATGTCTAGTCAACCATCATAATAGGTAAATAATCATTAAATTAAAAAGCAAATCGTTTTATTAATTACATAAAAAAATTTCTAATAACAAGTATAAAATTTTAAAATCCATTTGCCTTTTTCTTAACCTTCCTAATTTTTTGGTTTAGATAGATTTTTATATAATTTTAATCATTTCTGATTATATAGATTATAATTTTATAGATTTCAAAGATCTGAGTGTACATACATTTATCGTCACATATTATACAGTTGTCATTTGTTAGTTATTTATTTATTCATCATATTTTGAAAAAAAAAATTCCCAACTATGACCAACAACAGGAGACAAATTATAAGCGAATACATTAAATTGGATATATAGTTGTTCATTAACATTTTTGTAGCGAACGCCGTTGTTTTAAATATTACTGTGTGAATCATTTTCTACTATATATTGTGTAAAGTTGCGCGCTTCCAACCTGCACGCAACAAAGTGGCGACTGCAGAAAACTGGAAATTAGACAGAGTCTTGAGAAGGGTTTAAGTCCCTTTTTATTCAACTTTAGAAATTACAATTGCGTGCTCTTGACGCTCACAAACTACGCCGACCCGGCGGTAAAAATAAAAATAAGAAACTAAAGAGATAATAACAAGTGACTAACTACGAGGCTCTCTAAACGTAACTAACCTCACCGCGTTCTAAAATACCGCTGATAATTCAGCAAACTCTGAATACCACGTTGAAAGATTAACAATTTGCCGAGGCAAGCACACAGGCCGAAACGCGTGGTTCTTCAATTTCTGTAACTACCTCCGCGCTCGTGAAGTAAGAAAAGCACACTTCGAACTCGTTTCCTTTCTATTTAACTCAGAATACTTCCGCTGATAATTTGAATCCTTGCGCGTTCTACTAAAATTTACATACTCTGGCATTGGCAGTTCCAGGGGAAAGTAAGGCTTGACAGGAAAGATAGTTTAAACTTAAAATAAATGTTAGTTAAAATAAATATAAACCCTACATTTGTTATTTGAGATTCACACTAAATGTGTTATCCAATTTTTATAAATTTTATTTAAAAAAATTAAAGTATCTTTTTCGAGATTCAGATTTGTGAATCTGGCCTATATTTTCTAGTTGAAAATTATCCGATCTAAGATTTTATAAAAATTAAAAAGATAATTAAAAAACGTACAGTAACGAAACGTACGGTAGAGCTCATTTTGTCGCTGACAAAGTTATATAAAAGTTAACACCATAGAAATTACATTCAGATACGAGCACCAGCCTTCGCAAGCTTATGTTCTTATAATGAGAGGATTGTCTACAGGATGTATAAAATAAAAGGGGGAAATAGTCAAAAGGCATGCGAAAGCAATGAGAATCAGCAATAAGGGAAAGCAAACGGACTAATAGTAAATGAAAGCAAAACGACCAACAATAAATGGAAGCAAAGAAGCTAACAATGGATGAAACTAAAAAGAGCAGTAATACAAAAATGGCAAAGACCTACAAGAAGCAAACATAATAGATAAAAGAAAAGAGACTGACAATAAACGAATGCAAAAATGTCCAGTCGTAGGCGAAAGCAACAAAAAAAATGATGATGATATATGATCAACGAACAATCCGTGATTTCTGTCTAATGAATGAAGAGACCCAAGATTTTAATGTTAAGCCCTGCCTTAACAAAAGTTTAGGTCATGGTTTTAATTACTATAATGTTCTCTTAAAAACGCTGAAAAGTCTTCTATCAAACTTTTGTTTTCGAAATAAAGTAATCTAGTTTAAATTCACTTGAAATTAATGCAAGATTTCCCTAAAGTTAGCTCCGAAGTAAGAATGAATTGCGCCTAATTCTAAAACTGGCGCCTCTGTAAACTACATCTGATGTCGAAGGAAAAACACATATAAAATGTCAAAACGTTTAAACTTAAGTAGGTCCTGAAAGAGGATTAAGGTATCTTGATGCACCTCAAATACTAATAAAAGAAGTTTTATAGATAACCTTGCTTTATTTTTGGTTACTTTATTAAATACGAATATGAAATAAATCTGAAAAATATATACGTCGAATAAAAAATCATAAAAATCTTTTATTGATTTATATTGCGTAAACGAGCCTTTCGAGGACGAAATTGAGAACAGATTCGTTGTTATTGGAACATAACATTATGAAACCACATGTGCACCATTGTGTTCGATGACTTTTTGCTATTTCTGTGGTTTCTGATAAGAAAACACTGTGAAGAGTGGTTTTCGCAAGCCTCTTTGAAACTAACTTAACACTATCCAGGGAGTTTTGTAGAAACCGAAACAAATGATAGTCTGAGGTGCTAGGCCCGGCTTTACGGTACCCTCCCAGGCACGTTTTCTCAACTTCTGACGAGTCTCAAAATGTATGCGGTCTGCCGTTGCCAGAGTGGTGAGCGATATCCTTTCTCAATACAAGTTCCAGCAGTTTCTTCTGAGTTGCTAAGTACAATCCCTCTGATTTCGACAGTACAGATTCGAGTCTATCATTCTGTCTGCAGCAAGGAGCATCTTGGAACATCTGGATATCTTGGAGCATTTTAAGCAACATGAAGCGATCATCTTGAATTTCAAAGGAATATTTGCAAGAAGCATCTTGAACGTTCAAACTGCCGGAACGAAAGCGACTGAATCATCTTTTGGCTGTTGCTATTTATAACTTAACTTGCCCATAAACAGCACAAATTTCTTCATGGGCATGCACAGCATTTCGATTTTTACCAAAACCAAATTCTAAAATGTAGCGCATTTTTACGAAAAGTTCATTCATCTTTACGGCCCAATACCTTATATCTGAGTGCAAGAATTCCAACATCTTTTGCGCATTTTCTAGCTGCAAATGTTCGATTTCAAATGACGTCAATCTAACGTTCTGAAAGGCATATATTCTGAGATTTAGGACACTAACGCTATCTCGTGGATAAAAGGCCCAATACATTTTAGACTACCCATGTTTCTTTTATTTCGTACTTTGAAAGACAATAACATTTTTGTTACTTAAATACAATTTTCATTGTTTTGGTATTTTTAACAATGTTCATATTTCTTCATTTGTAAATTTTTATGCACTGTAATTTTAAATGAAATTTTCTGGCATCAGGTTATATTTTCAGATGGGCTCAAGTCAAGGATATTTTTGTAGATGAAAGGCTAGGCAATGTTTTAGATCATAGATTATGAATTGTTGTAGGTCAATGACTGCGATTCGTTGTAGATCGAAGACTGGAAAGTGATGTGAATTAAAAATTTTAATATTTATAGATCAAAGATTGGTAATCATTAAAGAGACAAAAATTAGGAATCGTTGTAGGTCATAGATTGGGAATCATTGCAGATCAAAGATTGAAAAATCGGTGTACTACTTTTAAAAACTGTGTTTACATTAATGGAGACACATTCCTATGTGTTTTACTATGTAATCAATTTATTCGTCAACCATGTTTATGATATGCATTAGTATTATTTTCTCTAGCACTTTTAACAATACTATATTAAATGAAATCCAGTATTTTAAAAAATAACGAAGCATAAAATTATTTACATTATTATATTTTCATTCCTTAATAAATTATATTTTATTGGTGTTTATACAGATTTATGTACACTAAAATAAAACTTTATTTTTGTATGAAGTGAAAGAATATGAATTTTGCCTTAATTGTTAGGGTGCGCTGAACTGTAATAATACAAAATGAGCATTGCCTAATTTTTAAACATAGCAAGAACTCTGTTTTATCACGCTGCAGTAGTTTGTTTCGATTAGATACATGAATATCTTCAAATTAAAATTATATCTGATTTCATTAAAAGTTTTAAGCTATTATAAATTCTATATACGTAATTGGCTCTTCTATTAGCTCTAAAGTTGTCTGTTGGTAAGTCCAACTATCTTTTCAGAGCATCTCTCAGTAATAGAAAGAGCATCCTTCTGACTCATATTTCGTATGAGATATGAAAATGAAGTTTGCTTTTATTCGGAGATACTAAACTCTTCTTTCTTGATGCGTAATTACAATGAAACGTTTTCGTGTTTACATAAAGTACACATATAATTCCCACGTTTTATGTAAATTTTATTATTTAAATCGTAGTTTCCCAATGTGGGCATTATCGCCACTGTGAGAAGATCTTAAGGACGCCTTACTGATCGCTTGGGCTGAACGAAGAGGTCGAGATACAAGTGAGCAATAATAACACGCTTTGGAAATTTTGATTACTTAAAAACAATTTTTAAACCTTCACATGATTCACACGAATATTGCAATCACGCATCTTTACAAGAATAATACCAAATCATCTCAATCAATCCTTTACACAAAATGGTCCATGCTTCAAAAAGCCTTATTTTTCTGGTCCAAGACATCGGATTTTACTAGTGTATTGTTGGCTATTTTCAAAACACCATGACCCAAATCCGTACTTGCAGTGATTTCCGGGCACGTCCAAGTAGTATGCGCTTTATATAGTATTCTGCTGTTATACTGCTGCGCATACTGTACCAAGAACCTGTGCATGTTTTACTGTTCTTTACCATAAACGTTCTGAAAAAATTCTTTAATTGCTATCATTCTTTTTGCGTATTGCGTGACTGATTAATAATTTGATTTAGTGCAAGTGCAGTAAATACCTAAAACTTGTATGCATATTCAGTCAATGCCTACAGACCAGATTCAAACTACAACTAATATATCGTTGCTGCAGGAGTAGGGAACACCGAACGAAATAAAACTCGAAACAGAGCAAGGAACAAAAAAAACAACAGTTTGGGAAACTATGATTTAAGCAATGGATATCATAGCTTTGAGTCATATCCATGTATGAGGTTTGCATAAGCCTTGTATGAGACTCTTATACGAATTTCGCCAGTTTTCTTTATCTGAGAAGTAGTTTCTGAATTCACTCCTCTTTATGTGGCATTATGTAGCCCTAAAATAGTTTATTAAGTGTTAATAAAAGAAATAAATGTTGAAGTTAAATATGCCATTAAGTTTCCCTAGTTTGGGTAATTAACAAAAAATATCTTAGGTTTCTAGTATTTTATATAAGTTAAATAGTTATCTTATTATTTTGTCTGTACTTTTTCTTCTCTTTCCGTTAGTTCCTCAAAGGATGCAGATTATTTAATGTATTTGAGCACAAAGTTATTGAGTTCGAGAAACAGGCTTTGGCAGCTATCCCTGATCTTTACTCTATTATATCTCCCTGCGAATGAATTACTTAAATCGACTTAAGTTTTGCTAGCCGTAATTGTTTCGTGAAAAACTGAGACTTGGGCCAAAGCTTAGCAAGCGCATTTTACTTTGTATTTAATATTTTGACTTGAATATTTGTCCTCAATTTCCCTCAGGCTGCGGAATTTTTTGTTGTTGTTGTTGTTACTAGGTAGTGTAATCGTCAGGCTGATGAGTAAATAAAAAGCTTTGTTTCAAACCTACATCTGAGTTTGAGTTTTCTACTCAGTAGTTACGATACAGCATAAATTGTCTGAGTGTCTTTACATTTCAAGGAGTTACCAATTAGTATAGTATGGATAA